GAGCTGCCCGCGAGGGCCGCGCTCCTGAGGTTGCCTGCGCCAGCCGGGGTGAGCTCTGCGGTCAGGGAGATGTGTTGGGGTGCAGGTTGGGCTCTGCCGCCGGCTCTTGCCCGTGTAGCATTGGTGTCGCCCAGCGGAGGTTGGGTGGTTTCAATCCCTCTCCTCCCCTTCCTGCAATTTTGGGACCATTGATCTCTTTAGCTGCTTCACCACTTTGATCTGGGTCTCTGCATTGGCTGATAAGGCCTTTCTGGTGGAGCTCAGTGGGGACAAGTGTCTGCACACCAAAACCCTGGGGAGACACCCTACCTGCTGCTCTCCTCATAGTGAAGGTGCCAGGATTGATTCTTCCCATGCAAACACCCCTGGGTGAAGGCAGAGTGCAGGCAGGGATGGCATCCGGCACATGGCTGGCCATGGCAGGATCTATATGGTGACACTGGTGCCATCACAGCTACCCCCGTGCCACAGGGGAGGTGTATCCTCATGCTGCCATGCAGCAGACCGGGCCTGGTGTGCTCCCTGCTCTGCCCATGGCCCCTTGGGCTTGGTGGGAGCTGCAGCCCCACAACTGGGGCTGCCAGAAGGAGAGTGTGAGGCACGTGGTGAGGTTATGGTTGCTGCCTTGCCTGGAGGCACTGGTGGGAGGTGGCAGCATCAAGCCGCCTTGATTTAAAGCCAGATGACAACACTTGGAAATGGATTAAAAACCTCTTCTTTCCATGGCCACTGCTGGCCTGTGCAGCTCGTCATTCCAGGGTGCCTCCGAGGCTTTGGCGTGATGATGGGAGGCTTCAGGTCCTCACCATGGGTAGGGGGAGCTCCCCATAACATTGGGCACAACAGGTTCTGCAGTCATCTCCTATCCCCAGGGCACAAGAGTGGGTGCTAGCCTGGTCTCACAAGGGTTTGCATGGTGGATGTGATCCACAGCAGTGCTGCTGTGCTCCGTGGGTGACCAGTTCCTATTAGAGGCAACAAACATCAGCGAGTCCAGGGAAGCTATTTTTAAGCAGAGGAAGCACTAGAATAGCATCCTGAGTTTTTTAAGCCTGTGACTTACTAAAGAGCCCAAGTCCTTCGATAGCGTCAAAAGCAAGATGTGAGCTCTTGGGTCCCATTTTGGCAACTGGTATTGACCAGACATCCAGGTGCAGCCCAGGGGGGTTGTTAGTGAGAGCCAGCAGACCCTCCTCATGTGAGTGTGAGCACCTCTGGTCTCAGCCAAGGACAGGATTGTGAGTTTGCAGGGCTGGAACCCACCTGGTTTCCCAGCTGGATGGAGTAGGAAAAGGCAAAGCACATGCAGGAGCTGGTGGGACCGGGAATGAGATACTCAGCCAAGCATCCCCACCCCACAGACCTCCCCTCTGGCTGCCTGCTCAGGGTCCCTGTGTTAGGATGCCTTTGGCAGGACTTGAGTGTCCCAAACTGGTTTGTTTTGGCTGTTGTTGCCTTGAGCTGTTTCCATGTGGAGCCCCAGAACCCTCACCCTCCAGTCCCGCTTTTCTCCCTGCTGTTTTCTATCAGGGTTGGTCTCTTGGCACTGATGCAGATGATCCTGGCAACTGCCAGCCCACAAATGGGACAATTCCCAAAACACCTCCACTTTTCAAGGCTGGTCCCAGTTCTCCGCAGAGCCTGTTTTCCTGTGCTCTCTTGGAGGCTTTTACCATCCCACTCACATGTGCTGTGGCTCTGAAAGAGCTGGTGTTTGAGGCGTGCAGGTGGGATGGATGCAGCTTCCAGCCGGTCTCCTTCACACAATGCCCTTGCTGCAGGAGGTATGCGTGCCACCAGACTTATCTTCTGCTTTCAGGGTCCATAGGTCATAGGGCAGACGTCCTCCTTACTCATCATGTGTCCTTCTCCTCCAGGCTGTGCTGAAAGACCAGAGTCAAATGAGGCAGATGGAGCTGGAGATAAGACCTGTCTTCTTGGTCCCAGATACCAACGGTTTCATCGACCACCTCAGCAGCTTGATAACGCTGCTGGACTGCAGGAAGTTCATCCTGGTGGTGCCCCTCATCGGTGAGTAGAGACAGTGCTCTGGTGTGGGCTCTCCCTCAGTGCCAGCTCCTCTCTCTGTGCCCACAGTGCCTGTGTGGTCTGCAGCCTGTTGGCTCCTGCCATGGGGCTGGCCTCTGTCCCCATCTCATCCCAGCCGTGGCCAGCATTCGGTCCAGGTTTCCCTTCTCCCTTCCTGCCCGCAGCACTTAACAAACTCCTCTCCTCCTGGTGCATTTGGGGGTGCCAGGGGTTGGGAGAGGCAGGCGGGTGTTAAATGGGATTTGGAGGGAATTCTGGAGGGAGTGAGGAGGAGGAATTGTTAAACAATCAGAGCAGATAGCTTATCCCAGCTGAGCTGGGGCTTAGGCAGCCTGAGCAAATGGCCAGCCTGTGTCCCAGCGTCTCCGAGCTGCTCAAGCCCAGCCCTTCTTTTTATCCTTATAAAGCTCGCAGTAAAACACAAGCTGGTTCCCGTTATTGGTAAACATTCACCCTGGCAGATAACAGCCCTGCTGCTGGGTGGTCTCCCGGGGTGGCGGCAGGATTTGGTTGGATGCCTTTCCTGGGATTGTTTGATCCGGGCTGGAGGTACCGTTTCTCCGGCCAGTGTCACTCTGGCACCCGGCGCGTCCCTGCTTCCAACCTGGCATTCAAGTGGTCCCAGAGGGCAGCAGGAGAGGCTGGGGCAGGAGCAGGGGTGAACCTCACATAGCCCACAGGCTGCCCCATCCCAGCCTAAGCCCCAGGAGGCCAGGGATCAGCTCTGCCCCATGGGCATCTCCAGTGTCCAGGCAGCGAGGTGTACGCTTGTTCTGATCTCCTGGCCTGCAGCACGCAGGGGTGCCTGCCCTCCAAGCCATTATGGGGCTTCCTTCTCAAGTCCTGGTGTCCAGCAGACAGCTCTGCCTGCCCCAAAGCCAACGTCCAGCCGCTGCCCTTCCCCGTGGGGTGAATAGCCTGACTCAGGAGGGATTCCTGGGGCTGGGAACAGGACCCCTGGATGTGGGGAGCAGGGCTGGCTGCCTGCCCGGCTCAGCACAGGGGCTGCCAAGGAGCTCCATGGCTTGGCACTGCAGTGCCAGGGCTTTGTGTGGAAGGGAAGGACCACAATAGCACCAGCAGAGCCTGGGCAGCCTTGGGGGCTGTGGAGTGTGTTAACACCTGAGAGAGCTGGGACTTGCCCTGAGCCATGGCCCTGCCTCTCAGTGTCTTCCTATAGTTGTCTTGAGGCTTCCCCATCCGAACCCCAGCCGGGGGCAGCAGTTACAGGAGAGCTGAAAACCCTGATCCTGTCCTTGTCCAAGATGCTGCTGCCCTCAACCTGCAAAAGGATCAAAAGGATCCTGGCCTGCCTTGGGCAGGAGGAGCAGCAGACTGCACTTCCAGTGTTATCCTGTCCTGCTGCCACCCTGCACAGCCCATCATAGGGGGCACAGAGTAACTCATCTCCCACTGCTGAAGCACCCTGAAGCCAGTGACTCCTTGTCCATGGTGGGCATTGGTCACATTCCCCCTTGTCCTCCAGGAAAGACATCAGTGCTGAGACCCAGGTGCAGGCAGGAAGAACCCATCCCCAGAGATAAGCCAGGGGCCCGTAGGTGCTGGGGGCAGAAGCCCTGGTGCCATGCCCCATTGCTGGACCAGAGATCCACATGGGACACTCCTCCCTGCTCTTCCCTGGGATGCAGCAAGGGGTTAAGCACGCAGCTTCTCGTTGGGTTTGTTTCTCTTGCTCTTTAACCTGCTCCGTGCTCCTTGAGGCTGACCCCACCATGGAGAAGCCAGGCCTGGTGCAGAAGCACAAACAAGCCTCCCCTTTGAAGCCTGTTTAGCTTGGAAGCAGGAAGGCGGATTTCGGGAGGGAATACCAGCTTTTCCTGTTTGATGTTCCGTTCTTGCACGGCTCCCCCCACCCCGGGCCCAGGCGTGCATTGTGTGGAAATGGCAGCATCAGGTCGGTAGCAAGAAGAGTCTCTGGCCAGCGAAGAGCAAAGGCAGCTCCATGCAGCTTTAATTTGAATACCCAGACAGTGAGTGCCAGCCTCACCATGGAACAGAGCGATCACGCAGGCTCCCCGGGCAGTGATTCACAGCACTGGGGAGAGGCCTCAGACCCCGAGCTCTCTTCCCCGAACCCCCAAGGAATGCATAGTTCCCACTTGAACTCAGGACTTGGCTCCAGGCTCGGAAACAATCTTCAGAAATGAAGCCATGGCTAAAACACACACTGTGCGCGCAGAGCCTGCCTCGCACACACGTGCGCACCAGCCCTCGCGCGTGCACCGTCCCAGCCAGGGATGCTCCCGAGCACATCTGGATGCGCCCTCCTGTGCCTCATCCCCGCCTCGGTGGCATCTTGCTCCCCCTGGGATCAAGAGGCTCTTCCAGAAGCCCCGGTGCCAAAGAGTGGGTCCCTCATGGAGCTCTGCAGGGGTCCCTCGGGCTTCTGCTGGGCTCAGGGGGCTGGAGCGGCTTGGCAGCAGGATGGGAGGCTCTCAGTGGGCTCCAGCTAAATGGGCTGGGAATCTGCCTGATCCCAGCCTTAGGCTCATCTCAGGCAGCATCTGTCAGGACAGATGTGCAAACCCAGATGGGTGAGGTGTTAAGAGAGCGTGTTCCTGAGAGGGCAGCTTCAGGTGGGAAAACAGGGCCAGGATTTCTGTGGGAAGCAGTGCCAGGGTGGGAGCTGCTGGATCCTATGTGTGACTGTTCCCACAGGCGCCCCTGCAGCAGCTTTCTGGGTCTGAAAGTACAGGGAGCTGAGAGGCAGTGCAGTGCAAGGCAGGAGCAGGCTGCGGGAAGCAGTGGTTTTCCAGCACCTTGGAGCACACAGGGATGTGCTGTTGGTTGGTTGGTTGTGCTGCAGGAGCATGGGGTGGGGGGCACAGTGACGCTCCCAGTGTCTCGCAGAGCAGAGCAATGTGTCCATAGGGAGCATCCCCCCCACACACTGCAGGGGCGAGGTGCCCGTGCCCTCAAGGCTGAGCCAGGTGGCCCATGGAGGTGGAAGGCAGCAAAGCTTTTCCAGACCCGCAGCCAAGTCCAGGAGCACAGGGACACTGCAGCAGCTGAACCCAGATTTCCTGAGCCAGCTCCCAGTGCCCCGGCCCTGAGGCCTTGGCAACTTGCGTGCTGCAGCAGCAGGTCACGGGAGCACCTTGTCCCATAGTAACTGTACCTCCTCTTCCTGTTTAAAGTGATAAACGAGCTGGATGGCCTGGCCAAGGGCCCGGAGATGGAGCACCGGGCTGCAGGCTATGCCCGCCAAGTGCAGGAGAGAGCCAGGAAGTCCATCGAGTTCCTGGAGGAGAGATTTGAGAGTCGGGACAACTGCTTGAGGGCTCTGACCAGCCGAGGCAACGAGCTGGAGTCCATCTCCTTTCGCAGTGAAGACACCACTGGCCAGCAGGTAAGGAGCATCCCATACATGGAGGCAGTGCTGCAGAGGGCTGGAGGCTCTTTGCCACCACCTTCTTGGGGGGAAACCAGGGGCTTTAGGGTCTGTGAGCTCTGGGCAGGGGGTGGCTCTGTCCCCACCTCTGCAGGCAGCTGAGCAGGCTCCTGTGGGCTGTGTGTGCTTTGGCTCTGAGCAGCCCTAGCAGGGAGTCTCAAGCCAGGGCAGAAGTTCTGGTGATGGGGTTGCAGGTTTTTTTCCAGCCAAGGGTAACGTTGCCCTTTTCTTCCAGGGAAACAACGACGACCTGATTCTGTCCTGCTGCCTCCACTATTGCAATGACAAGGCCAAGGATTTCATGCCCTCCAACAAAGGTAGGACATCCTCCCGTCCTCTTTGTCCCTCCTCTGTTGCATTTCACAGACTCTCCTCCTTCCTTTCTCTTTGGAGCTGATGAGCTCTCCCACATTTTGCCTCTTTCAACACCAAGGTGCCACCTCCTGCCTCCCATCAGCCCCAGGCTGTGGCCCTCCCACTGCATTGCCAAATGTGCACCTCGCTGTGCTTTGGGGATGCCCCAGCCTGTGAGCAGCCCACTGTAAACGTCCACAGAGCTATTCTGTGGTGCTGGCAGCGGTGATGAAGGGCCAGAAACAGCCTCCTCCCCCTAAACCCAGGTGCCTCCTATCCGGGGCCCTTTTCCTTCCCAATGCCAGATTGGCATCAGCCACGTGTGCGGGGATCAGCCATCCCCCAGGCTGTTGCCAGAGCAGTGGGAATGGGAATCGCATCAGCAGCTGCCCAAGAAATCAACCCGCATTTGTCAGTGCGAATTCTTAGCAGCTTAACTTGTCAGATTCACAGAGAAACCGTCACCAAATGTTTATGTGCAAATGATGCTGAATTTTGAAATCATGTGGATTATGGGGAATGGGGCCTGACAAGCTGACAGCCTCTGGTTTGTAACAAGGAGGCGCGTCACCAGCACGGAGCAGAGGATGTTTATTGTTACACATTTCTTAAAGTGTCCGCGCAAAACCACCCCATCGCTCTTCCAGCAGCCCTCAGCCCCAGGCCTGGCCTTCCCCTGAGCTCCTGCTCCTCTTCCTCATGCCATGGGCCAGCCGAGGTGCT